AAAAAAAAAAAAGCAGACTGCAAAAAGACAAAATATATATATAGAGAATAAAACCATTGCAGTGAGGAGGGTATGAGGTGGAGAACATGGGAACTCAGATGGGTGTTATGGTTTGTGTATGGGTGTCCCCCTCAAAGCCTCATGCAGCATGGGGTGGCTTTCTGGAGTTTGTGATTGATTACTGTGGGTGTGGATGCTACACCTGCCCTGGGGCGGGCAATTTGCATTACAATGTAAGAAGGGGAGAGAGGCTAGTGCCTGAGCTGCTGCTACTCACTGAGTCCTTTGTTCTTGCTCTTTGCCACTGTCATGAAAGGTGGTTCTCTGCCTTGTGCCACTCTGCATTGGAGCCAGCTTAGTATAGACTGAAACCTCCAGTTACTGTGAGCTAAATAAAACTTCCTTTCTCTAATTTTGAGTGTCAGATATTTGTCCCAGCGAGAGAAGAGTAACTGAGACAGTGGGCATGAGGTGGGACAAAACTAAGGTCAACAATGAGATAACATGGGGCTGGTGAGATGGCTCAGTGGTCTAAGCAAAAGGACCACGGTTCAATCCCCCAGCACATGCCAGCCAGCCCCGTCCCCTGGTGGGCTGAGCTGGCCACACACACACACACACACACACACACACACACAAAATAAATAAAAACAAAAAACAAAACAATGAGATAACAAGCATCATTGCTCTGGTAAAATTGATTAAATCCAGAACCGAATGGATGCCAGTCATGTAGCAAGGGGGCATGAATATAGAACAGCAGTATAGCCAGTAGCCAGTAGCTGTTGGATTAGTGACTTCCTGGCTTCCTCAAAGTGATTATCAATCCCAGATGCTTATCTTTAGGGTGGTAAACATTTGTTTGATCTTTGGTCTTTAGGTCTGGCCCACAGGAGCAGCAGCATCTCTTTGACAGCTGCAACATCTTGTCTTTGGTGCGTTCTCCCTGGGGACCTGGCCCTGTCGGACTGCCTGTAATATTTCTATTATAATTTTTATTTATTTTTGGCAGAACTGGGAATTGAACTCAAGCCCTTGCACTTGCCAGGCAAGCACTTATTCTACTGAGCCATCTCCCCAGCCCCATTTCTATTATAATTTACCTGCCTACCACAATAGAGTAAGAGACGTTTTCAAGGTATTGACCTAACAGAGACCTAGTATAGGGAATGTACAAAGAACTCTTCCATTTTAACAGTACAAGATAAATGGGGAGGCAGCCATAGCTCAGTGGTAGAGCATTCCCTGGCATGAGCAAGATTCTTTATTCATCCCTGGACTACAAAAAGACAAAATGGGAGGAGGGGTAAGACAGTCTTGGTGACACTTGTCATCTATTAGAAGAAGTCTCTGAAATTCCTCCCCACTCTTGCCATTTCTATAGGTCAATACCTGGCCTGCAAGACTATAAGAGGCCAAAATAACTTATGAAAGCTGGCTATATGCTATTACCTACATTGAATTCATGCAAACAAGAGGTCGAAATTATTCAGGAAAACCGTAATAGCCACCAAGAAACTAAAGGCCAGGATGACTTTGCACCTGCAAGGAAATAAATTTGAAACCCCGTAACATTTAAAGGTGCTCCCTCCAGTGGTGGTCACCATATTTGCATTTCAGTGAGTGCTCTTTCAAAGAGCTTTAAAGGATATTTGTGTATATCTAACCAAAATCTGTGTATTACTGGAGATTCAAGCCAAGGCCTTCACATTTACACACATACCCAGTCCTATTTTATTTTTTGTGGCAGGGTTTTGAGTCCCTCAATTGGCTAGGGTAGGCTGTCACACTTCCTCAGCCTCTCAAGAGTGCTGGAATTACAAATCTGCCCCCCTGCACCTAGCTGATTAATCAGTATCTTAATAGGATATCCTGCTGCTCCTCCCACCCCAATTTCTGGCAGCTCTTTCAATGACAAAACAGTCAAACTTTTTGTTGGAATTACACCTATGGCAAAGTCAAGCTAGCCTCAAATGCTTTCTTGTAAGGCAACTGAATTAGATAGAAATATAGGCAGTCAGACAGGACCAGGCCCTCAAACAGACAAAATGGAAGACAAGGTGACTTTGCAACTTTGGAAGAGACAGACACTCCCTGCTGTGGGCCAGACTTTGAGACAAAATAGTAAACAGAAGTAGCCACATACTTCCCTAGGAGTGGGCACCAGGGATTTATATTCTAAATAGGTATCAATCACCTTGAAAGAGCCTGAATAAATCACTAATGCAACATTCAACAGGAAAAGACCCTATTCTGTATTCCTGCCCGCTGGCTACTTAACTTGCTTCATTTGGTACTGGTTTTAATCAATTTTACCTGAGCAATGGTGTTTATAATCTCAATGGTTGACCATAGTTTTGTCCCACCTCATGCCCACCTAAGCAGGTTCCCATGTTCTCCAACACCTTAGACCCACCTCACTGCATTGTTTTCCTCTTTACTTATTTATATTTTGCGGAACCAGTGAATGAACTCAGGTCCTTGCACTTGCCAAAGAAGCGCTTATTCTACACTGTACCATCTCCCTGGCCCTGGTTTTCCTCTTAAAAAAGTCCCTGGAAGAGGCACCTTCCCAGGGACCACCAGCTGGGGGGAGGGGGCACCACACATCCTGTCCCTCTCAGACAGGAGATCTTTTTCCCCCAATAAATATATTCTGCTCCCAAGCACCATTTGTTCCTAAAATTCATTCTTCTGTGTTAGAGAACATGAACTCGTCCCAGGTACCTTTCAGGTTGTGAATTTTTTCCCTTTATCATTTGGAGGTCCCTTATCACTTTGACTCCTCTCTGAAGTTTGTCCCTTCTTCACCTTATCTCCTATTACCATAAAAGTCTAGGACAGATCCTTCCTTAGTTCTACAGACATAATCAGATGGAGGAGGATCTTCATTAAGCATCTGATATGCCAAGTTTGTGTTTTCTAAAATTAAAGAATGAATTCTAGAAACAATGGAGGGTAATCATAGGAAATAATAATTGAAAAACAGCTTCTAGAAGGGACAGAAGAGGGTCCCAAGTGAGTGGCAGCCCTGGGGACTTTTTTTTTTTTTTTGGCAATACCGATAATCAAACTCAGGACTTAGTGCTTGCCAGGCAGGCGTTTGTGCCACTGAGCTATCTCCCTGGCCCTGGATCCCACTTTTTTGGCAGAACTGGGGATTGAACTCAGGCCCTCGTGCTTGCTAGGGAAGTACTTATTCCACTGAGCCATCTCCCTGGCCCCCACTTTTTTAAAGAGAATTTTATACAGCAAAGCCAGGAGGTGGGCAAGTATGAGGTGGGACAAAATTGTCATCAACTAGTAAGACTACAAGTATATTCACTTAGGTAACATTGATTTTGTGGGAAACCACAAGGTGGATGTGAAGTGGGTTAAAGCTATCTAAGGTCAGACAATAAAATTATGAGTCTAATCACTGGGGAACTACTGTTTATTTTTTTTGGGGGGGGGGAACTACTGTTTAAATGGGGATCAAATGGGGAATCAAGTTATGCAGCAAGGGAACATGAACCAAACATTTGCACTTTTCCTGCAAGGGGCCAGGGAGGTTTTGGTTCCCCACCCAAAGAGAGTGATGCTTATTTAGATTATCAGTATTACCATTAAGGGAAATCTATCCGCGTAGTCATTGCTCTGTCCTCAGGCTTGATCTTCAAGGAATGTGCCTCCAGCCAAAGTTGTCTTTTGCACTTAAGTTTTGTGAGGGCCCGACCTTGTTTGCCTGCCTGTATTTCTAAATAACTTAGCTGTTTATAATGCTTGTGAGTTGCCCTAGATCCCAGTATGTTTTTTACCACCTTCTCCCTGAACAATGATCACCATGGAATTTGCTATCTTACACTCAATTAAAAGTTTATACAGGGGCTGGGGAGATGGCTCAGTGGAATAAGTGCTTCTCTAGCAAGCGCAAGGGCCTGAGTTCAATCCCCGGTTCTGCCAAAAAAAAAAAAAAAAAAAAAAAAAGTTTATATAATCAACA